GAAAAAGGAGAAAGGGAGCAAAGGAGAGCAAGAGACAGGGAGCACCTGGCCAGGACAGCTCAGGCAGTGAAAGAGACGCAGGCAAACTCCAGAGATTCAGCTCCAACCAGTTGCAGCCCTCAGGATCCAGACTCGCAATGTCCCTCCTGGCCATTCAAGATGAAAGTGGCTGGGCAGCGGATCCCCTTCTTCCCCACGCACCGCCTTGCCCTTGGCGCCCCAAGTCTCCCTGCTAGCACTGGGTTTGCCTTCTGCACTCGGAGCAGCCCTGCAAGACAGTGGAGAAGAGACACCTGAGGGGGGGGTGCAACTCACCCTTGCCTGCCTTTTGAAGTCCCCTCTGGCAGAATGAAGAACAGGCGGAGAAGCCGAGCAATGGAGTTTGGGGCGCCAAACTCCAGAAACAGGGGAGAGGAGGATCAATTCTGCCGGTCATGTTAGGCAAGGATCGCCCTAAATCCAAGCAATTCTGGGCTTGATTCCCACCCCCCTCCTTGTCCCAAACCTCCCTTAACCTGTAAAGTAAGAGACTGCCTCCTTTTCAGTTGCCTCCACCTTTTTATCCCCACCCAATCTCTGCTCTTTTGGCTGCCCTGTCCCCTTCTCTAGAGAAAAGCCAAAGAACGCATATTGGAGGTTAGCACAACATATCCCAGCCAATATACTCCATAATCTTGGGAGTTATGACCATCAGAACTGGATAAAAGCCCCAGAATTCTACAGTTGGGGAAGCACAATTTACACAAACCAACAAAATCCATGCAGTATTATCACTGCCAGGTATTCCAATTATTTATTACTTTTACAGTCCTTGTTTATTTTTACATTACCCGGACCCCGCCCCCCCCACTAAAGACAGCTTGCTTCCAGTTATTGCATAAAGACTCCTCATAAACCATTCTCCATTAAGATGATTAAAAACAATACTGCAAAATAAGAAAAAGAAATTAAAATTCATGCCAAAGGAATAATCAAACCACACAAACATAATTTAGCAGGGAGCTTCCCTTTTCACAGCAATTCCATACTCAGAGCCCTTTGGAACAGCCAGAGTTGGGCTGAGATTGAAAGTTAGTGCTTCCTGTTCCCTATTTATAAACTACCATCAGGATAAAGTCCTCTTACAGCAAATGTTCAAATTTAGTGTATTTCTGGGGAAGGGGGAAGTTAAAGGACCAACTTCACTACTTTTATTCAGAGTTCACTTATTCTTGTCTTTTATCAGGGGATCTAAGTTGAAAACAAATGATCTGATTTTCAAAAAGCTTTGGATGTTAAATTGTACACACTTCTAAACAGCAAATTCTAAAGCTAAAGGAGAAAAGCATGATTTCTGCAAAAAATATATGCACTCCGAGTTTAGTTAGTTATCATACTGCGTTCGAGATTTAGTTAAATAGATTGTGTGCCATCAAATTGGTGTTAACTCTTAGCGCCCACATAAGATTTTTCTAAAACACTCTGCCTCTAATCTGGTCTTCCTGGTTTGACAAGGGTGAGTATTTAAACAGAGACGTGGAATTCAATCTCCCTCCCCTCATTTAAATCCTACATTAGTCTAGCTCCCTGGCGGCGAACCTATGGCATGCGTGCCACAGGTGGCACGCAGAGCCCTCTCTGTGGGTACGCGGGCCCTTGCCCCATTCCTAGGCCTTCAGCTGGGTGTTATAAAACCTTTTCACTTTAGGCCTCCACCGTGTGCAAAAACAAAAAGATTCAATCAATCAATCAATTTTAACTTCTCGCGGAGAAAAAAAAATCTCGCAAAGTTGGAATTGAATTTTTTAGTCCCACCCATTCTGCCATTACCACCGCAGCCACACCCACCATACGGACCACACCCACCCAATGGGCCTTACCCAACCGGCACCCGAGGATACATAAGTGGTTTTTTTGTTGCAGTTTGGGCACTAAACTGGTTCTAAAAGGTTTAGATCATTGGTCTAGCTGCTCTCTGCATCTGGCGAAGAGAGCTGCACTCAAGAAATTCTGTTTTTTAAGGAAATGTGTTAGCTGGAAAACGTGTTAGCTGCTTTCGATGTTTATCCCCCCCTCCAATGCATTAATCCTGAGCTGAACCCAGAGCCGAAAAGTTGCATCTTTCAGGTGAGGCTCCCCGATTTTCCTGCAAGGCCAAGGAGGAAGGCAGGTGCAAAAGCCTGATTTAGAGGGAGGACGCCAAGAGAATTGCCTCGCACCCCCCTCCCGCTTTGGCAAGAAAAGCACCAGCTCAACTCTTCCAGCAGGGAAGTTGAAAGAGGAAGGGGCGCTTTCCTTCTCTCTTTCAAAATCCTCTTTAGAAAGCTTGCAGCTATTGTTTGGACTCCAGGGTGAGGTTTGAGGGATCAGCAGTGTGCAGGGGAATTGTGGGGGGGGGAGCGATTTGCAGTTGCTGCTCTCAGGCACAGAAGCCCCCAAGAAGCCAGAGCTCCATTTCTCCTCTCCTAGCAATGGGGTGAAGTGGTGGTGGGAGGCAACTCTAGTTGTCTTGGACTTGTTCTTTCTGTCCAGGAGCAGAAAACCCAGTGGTCTCCCCGTATGGGAGCAGCCAAAGGCCTTGTTGCCTTTCAGGCAGGTCCAAGAGGGGACTGGGGGGGGGGAGATGTGGCCCAAAAAACCTCCGAGGGAGCCCTCAGCCCAGAGGGAGTACCCAGCTGGGTATCTAGCTGTTGGTTTGGGGAGTGTGTTGGTAGGTGTGCAGGAAAGGCTTGAGGAGTGGTGCAAGTGTCATACAGGGTGGGGCTGGGTGAAAAAGGTGTGAGAGGTGTGGCACACCACTTCTAGTGAGTGGCCATGGGCAAGAAAGACTAATACCAATGAAGGAGAATATTTATAGCTCAGGGTTGGAATGAGGTCCTGGGTGCTCTCCAAGTTTGCTTCTTTTCTTGCAAATGTTTCATTACCCTAACTAGGTAACCTCATCAGTGCTAGATCACGTGAAGTGTTAATACCACTTTACAATGCCTTGGTAAGGCCACAATAGGAAGGCTACATCCAGTTTTGGATGCTGAGACTCTAGAAAGAGTACAGAGAAGAGCCTCAAAGATGATTAGAGGACTGGAGGCTAAAACATAAGGAACGGTTGCTGGAATTGGGTATGTCTAGTTTAATGAAGAGAAGGACAAGGGGGGACATGATAAAGCTAATCAAGGAGAGAAGCAACTTAGAACTAAGGAGAAACTTCCTGATCGTTAGAACAATCAACCAGTGGAACAACCTGCCTCCAGAAGTGGTGAATGCTCCAACACTGGAAGTTTTTAAGAAGAGACTGGACAGCGATTTGTCCGAAATGGTATAGGGTTTCCTGCCTGAGCAGGGGGTTGGACTAGATGACCTCCAAGGTCCCTTCCAACTTTATTATATTAATTATAAATTATTATTATTCTGTTTTGCATCTTTCTTTTCACAACATGGCAATGGCAGAAGGAAAATGCAGGTGGAACTACGCAAGGGAGTAGTAATAGAAGGCTGACCTGCTCTGAATGAATTCAATTCTCTGGGACCACATGAATAACATCCCGGGTATTTGGTATGTGATTTCAGAAGCACTGACTGTAATCTTTGAGTGTTCCTAAACTATTAGAAAAACTGCCAGGAGACTGGAGAAGCGCTATATTCCAGTCTTTAACCAAGAGAAAGAAGTGAAACCACAAAACTGCAAACCAACCAACCAAACTATGATACATAAATTGATCTGGTTCAAACAGCATCATTTCTTCAGCCATAATATGAAAGTTATCAGCTGCAAAGAACCAGACAGGTATTTATAGAGTTCAAACAGGCTACTGGATTGTTTTATGCCTGTTCCACAGGAATCATCCCAGACTAGTAGCTTTCGCCTGGGAATTACTGGAAAAGGCTCAAAAGCATTTGGGGATGGGGTCAGATGTTGCCATTGGGTTTACGTAAAAATTCCAGACTAATTTCCCACTTAAGCCTTCCACCAGACTGGGATGCTTGCTCTCTAACGGAAGTAGTGCCACTGCTGTGTTTGCTACATTGTTTGAACATCCCAATCTAGACTTGCTTTTCCCCCCCGCCAAGTATGAGGAGAGGTTGAGGAGATAAACAAGCAAATTACTGAACAAAGCAAAAAATTTAGTTGCGTAGTGTTAACAAAGATAGTCACAGACAACACAACAAAACAATCAATGTATTCAGGGAATTATTATGCTTTAGACCAGTGGTTCTCAACCTGTGGGTCGGGACCCCATTTGGGGTCAAACGACCATTTCATGGGGGTCGCCAAACAACGCAGTCCGCCATTTTTTTCCTTTTCCTTAGCTGTGCTACTCCGTTTTATTCTATTGGCTTTTGAAAGCCAATGGAATAGACTCTCTTGAATAGAGTCTAATTCTATTGGCTTTCAAAAGCCAATAGGAATTGTCCAGGCTGTCTCTGCCCTGCTGAGCCCGCCAAAAGTCCCATTCTGCAAACAGTGCTGCACCAGTTGAGTAGTCCTCAACTTACAACCGGTTGGGGGTCATGGCATTAAAAAGGTTGAGAATCACTGCTTTAGACTATAGCCAAACCTAAGTCCTGCAGCCGTTCTTCATATATTTTAGCCTCCAGGCCTTTGATCATTTTAGTTGCTTTTCTCTGAACTTTTTCCAAAGTCTCAACATCTTTTTTGTAGTATGGTGACCAAAACTGGTTGCAGTATTCCATGTGTGGTCTTACTAGGGTTTTATAAAGTGGTACTAATACTTCGCATGATCTTGATTCTATGCCTCTTTATAAAATCCAGGATGAAATAGGGTTGAATTTATTTTCTTCTCCTGAATTCTCTCTTAGAAGAAATAGATGTATTTGCCTCAAGAAATTGCTGATCCACCATCAGCAATTCTCATATTCAGTTGCTTATAATATTTCTCCTGTATGTTAAATATGATTCCAGCAGAAGATCTTTCCACAGTCCATGCATTAATAAGCATCCTGCCATATCTAGATCCTCGCATGATGAAAAAGTTGACAGTTGCAAATAAAGCTCAAGGCATGGATTCATTTGGTTTTTCCTATGTGGATTGTTTTATGAAAAGTAAGTACATTATTTTCAGTGAAAGTTGTTCCACTTTTCATGCATCTCCATCGTTTTCCTGTGTGGATGCCTCTGTGACAAATAAATATGTTGTAATCATTTTTTTTCACATTCCATAGACATATATGTTCTCTCCCCAGTGTTGATCCTTTTATGAGACTTAAGATGTCCCTTCCGAGAAAAGGACTTTCCACATTCCAGGCATTTATATGGTTTCTCTCCTGTGTGGATCCTTTTGTGAGAATTAAGATTTTCCTTTCGAGTAAAGCTCTTTCCACACTTCATGCACTTATGTGGTTTCTCCCCAGTGTGTAACATTTTATGAGCCTTAAGATGTCCTTTCTGAGTAAAGCTCTTTCCACACTTCAGACATTTATGTGGTTTCTCCCCAGTGTGGATCCTTTGGTGGATACTAAGGTTACTCTTGCTATTGAAATTCTTTCCACATTCCAGGCATTTAAATGGGTTATCCACTGTATGGATCCTTTGGTGGCAATTAAGACTACTTTTGTCATTGAAGTTTTTTCCACACTCCAAGCATTTATGTGGTTTCTCCCCAGTGTGGATCCTTTGGTGGACACTAAGCTTACTCTTGCTATTGAAATTCTTTCCACATTCTAGGCATCTATATGGTTTCTCTCCTGTGTGGATCTTTTCATGTGAATTAAGATGTCCTTTCTGCGTAAAGCCCTTTCCACACACCAGGCATTTATGTGGTTTCTCCCCAGTGTGGATGCTTTGGTGGAGGCTAAGCTTATACTTCATATTGAAACACTTTCCACACTCCAAGCATTTATATGGGTTATCCAGTGTGTGGATCTTTTGGTGGCGATTAAGAGTACTTGTGTCACTGAAGTTCTTTCCACATTCCAAGCATTTATGTGGTTCCTCCCCAGTGTGGATCCTTTGGTGGACACTAAGCTTACTCTTGCTATTGAAATTCTTTCCACACTCCAGGCATTTATATGGATTATCCACTGTGTGGATCCTTTGGTGGCGATTAAGTCTACTTTTGTCACTGAAGTTCTTTCCACATTCCAGGCACCTATATGGTCTCTCTCCTGTGTGGATCTTTTCATGAGAATTAAGATGTCCTTTCTGGGTAAAGCTCTTTCCACATTCCAGACATTTATACGGTCTCTCCCCAGTGTGATTCCTTTCGTGAGAATTAAGACTTTCTTTTCGAGTAAAGCTCTTTTCACACTTCAGGCATTTATGTGGTTTGTTCCCAGTGTGTAATGTTTTATGAGCATTAAGATGTCCTTTCTGAGTAAAGCTCTTTCCACACTCCAAGCATTTATGTGGTTTCTCCCCAGTGTGTATCCTTTGGTGCCGAGTAAGGCATGTTTTGCTAAAAAAACTCTTCCCACATTCCAGGCATTTGTACGGTCTCTTTCCTGTGTGGATCCTTTGATGAAAAATAAAGTTTCTATTGTAAACAAAGCTCTTTCCACACTCTGTGCATTTATATGGTCTTTCTCCTGTGTGGGCCTTTTTATGAGAATTAAGATCTCCTTTCTGAGTATAGCTCTTCCCACACTCCAGGCATTTATAAGGTCTATCACCTATGTGGATCCTCTTATGGTAATTAAGATATCTTTTCCGAGTAAAGCTTTTTCCACACTGTAGACATTTATATGGTCTCTCCCCAGTGGGTATTCTCTGGTGGAGATTAAGTTTACTCTTGCTACCAATATTCTTTCCACACTTCAAGCTCAGTATCATCTCTCTGCTCCGACTGGAACCCCTGCCAGATTTTATAGAGGTTTGTGGTTTGTTTTTCTTATAGACTTTCTTAAGTAAAGTAAGGGCAAAGGAATTTTTGACATATTTTCCATACTGTTGAGACTCATAGAGTTTTCCTTTAGTCTGGTTTCTCTCATAGTCATATGTATTTGGATTTTTCTCTTTTTTCTTGTATTGTCCCTTTCTCTTTACTTTTTCAACTTGCTGGGACAGGAAGCCATGGATTCCAATAGGAAGCAAAGTGGATGAGCTCATCCCTCCTTCTGTGTGGTTTCTCTCTTGCCTTTTTATGTCCCCTTGATGGCCAAACATTACTTCCTGTATATCATGCATCTCTGTTTCAAGTGGCTTCAACCTAGCTTTCTTGTCATTCTCTTTGTCCTGCCCATTATCGGCTTGGAAAAAAGAAAATAAATATTTGGGTTAGAATATAGAATGGCGAAGGATAATATTGTCTTCCCTCACTAACAAACATGCCAATCTGCATTCCAGATTTGTCACCACCTGTCAGAATCCATTTATATTTCATCTCTAGTTATCGACTATGGAAAACCCCATTTCTGCCCTCTCTGGATTCTGTCATACGATGAAGGGGAAGGGGGGTGAACAAAGGGGTTTTATGGCCCTCACTTCCTTCGGTACAACCTCAAAAGGGACTGTATGTGAATACCACCAAAAGGACTACACATAACAATGGGGCCATCAGCTTTCATCTACTCCCCTCTGAAGTCTCCCTTCCGCCGGCAATGAGGAAAAGGCGGTGGAAATGTAACGCCTGGAAGGATGGTGGGGTGGGATGGGTTTGCTGGGAACCCCTTAAAACCTTGAACCATAGGGCTTGGCCCCAAGTCCTGTCTAGAATGCCTGCAACCATTTTCTCTTAATAAAGGATGCCTGTTGGAAGAAATATTCCAAGAGTTCTGTCTTCTTAAGATGCAAAGTGGGGTGGGTCCTTACACCACCCACATTTGGCTAGGATGTGATAGCTGCAAATTGTTATTTAGGAGACTGATGGTATGCGAATAATTTTTCAACTGAGAAATGTATTAAAGCTTTGGTATTGATCCGTCAGTCTGCCCAACCCTGTCCACAAAGCATCTAAACATTTCCCAAATCGATGATGAGTATTTCTGCACTGCCTTGTAAAGATGCAACTAAGTGCAGACAACTTCTCTGTTGTCTTTCCACTGAAAAAATGAAGGGAACCCAGAGCAAATCCTGGCCTTACCCAAAGCTGCCATATCCGTAGAAATCTCCTTGATGACCTCCCTACATAAGGCCTTCTGGCCAGAATCCAGCAGATTCCACTCCTCCTCTGTGAAGTTCAAAACCACCTCCTCAAAGGGACTGTATCCCTAGAAAGAGAAATAAAACTTTCTTTAGCAGACAATACCAGGAAAGACGTCTACGTTTTCTCTCTTATTACAGAAAATAGGTTTGCAATAGACCAATGGGTACTTTCTAGCAGGACAGATTTATGTCTGCGTATCAACAGAGTCCTTAGGGCTAGGAAGCTGTAGCTGCACAAATGGCTTAGGTGCATCCAGGTTGTAAAATGCTAAAAGAGACACCATTGGGGAGCTTTCCACTGGACCAAAATAAACCAGCAAGGAGGTTTCAGGGAGAAGAATCCCCTAGACCACGGGTCGGCAACTCGTGGCTCTGGAGCCACATGAAGCTCTTTCAGCCTTCTCCTGCAGCCCAGTCCTCCTCTGCTATTTGCAGTACCACAAAAAAAAGTGGGACTAAAAAAGTTCAACCATTCAATTCAAACTTCTCATGAGAAAAAAAGATTTGCGAAGTTGGAATTGATTGGTTGAGCTTCTTTTGTTTGTGGGACTGCCCACAACCTTCCTTTCTTCTTGGGACTGCACGTGGTGGCAGTGGAGGAAGAGATGGAGGACTGTTGGAAAGAAGGTGCGTGGGTCAGACGGGGCCTGTGGGGTGTGTGTGTTCTGCTAAGTATCGTATGGAGCTGGTTGGGGAAATGGGCTGGGTGGGGGGAGCTGCCAATGCCACTGCCATGATCCCCCCTCCCCAGCCACCCTTATTCTCACCTGGCCTCATGCTCTTCTTGTCTTCCGCACTCAAATCGGCTACTAGCGGCTTTGATGGCTCTGCTCCGTCCGAGTTGAAGAAAGCTGCTTTCTGCTGGCCTCTGCTTTCTTCAACTTGGACGGAGCAGAGCCAACCAAGCCGCTAGCAGCCAATTTGAGGGAGGAGAAGAGTGTTTCCTCAGGAACCGCCCAAAGCTCCGCATCTGAAAGATCTTCAGCCGAGGGCTGCGTTACACCTTCCTCTCCAGCCTCAAAACTGGGGCCTAAAGGAAAGATCAGCTCTTTATAGCCACAACGTGCTCTCGCCCCACAGGAGCACCTTTTATGCACGAGGCGCCTGCCTCATTCACACCCTGGAGCACAAGGAAGGAGGCCAGAGGCGGAGGCACCTTCCCACTTGATAAGGCCAGTGCTGTTTTTGTGAGAAAAAAGGTGCCGGAACTCAGACACCCACTCCCCCCCCCAGGCCATTCCTTGATCGGCCACCTTTCACTCCCCTCCCAAGCCGGACTGCCATGCTAAGGTGGATGGGATGGGCGGAGTAGGCCAAGTCCCCCTCCACCGTTTCGGAGCCAGGGGGGAGTGAACTTCGCCCTGCAGATCACCTGCCCGGGCGCAGCCACCTCATCCTACGCCAACTCTCCTGTCACACACCTTCCCCGCTGCCTCCCTCCGCCAGTCCTTTGTCACCTGTCTCACAGAGAATGCAGTGGCTCTGCGCAGGGATGCAGAGCAGAGAACAGCACTTGCTTGCTGCCCTACGTTGCCCATGTCTCCCTTCTCCCTTCTGGAAATGGCAGCCCCGTTTCCTGCCGCTTCTCCCCCCAGCGCAGCTCCTCCCTCTTCCCTGAAAGCATTTCTTTGCTAACCTGCTTTCCAGCTCTGGCATGGTTCTCTTCTGCTGCAGGGAAACGGAGTTTGTGGGACTAAAAAAAGTTCAGTCAGACTTTCCAACTCCAGGTGAGATCTTTTTTTTTCCCCACAAGAAGTTGGAAGGTCTGACTGAATTTTTTTTAGTTCCACAAATTCCATTGGCTGGCTCAGGAATTCTGGGAGTGGAAGTCCACGAGTCATAAAAGAGCCAAGGTTGCCTACCCCTGATGTAAAACAAACTGTTGTAGTCCTTTTATTTTTCTTGTTCCCTAGGAACTGTCAAACAGTTATTGAGACAGGCGAGTGGCATACCCCCCCTTTTAAAAGACAAAAAGGATTGGAATTTGTTAGATTTTCCCAGTAAGTGGTTTGCTGAGAGGGGGGGAGGGAGGGGGGAGGGAGGAAGGGAGAGAGGGAGGGAGGGAGGGAGGGAGGGAGGGAGGGAGAGAGAGAGAGAAGGGAAGGACAATGACAATGAGTCTGGAAATCCCAAATCACTTGACCAACAGTCTTATTATTGCAGCAACTTAGCACGGATTTAGGGGTTTTTCTGTAATGCATTATTATATATCATATTTAGAAACCACCAATCTCCTCATAAATCGCTTCTATGATTATTTTTTTTTATCCTATTCCTGTTTTTTGAAATCATGGCTTTTATTTTTGAACTAGTTTCAAAGGTCTTCAAAAAGCTTTAACATGTATTATTGTTGCAGCCACTTAGTGTTGAATTAGGGGTCTGTTCTTCATATGAATCATTTTTAAGTGGATATGCTAGCATATTTTTGAACCATTTCTCAATCCTATTCCCTTTGTTTCAATTTGCTGATTTCATTTCTAACTAGATTTCAGCATTGAAAAGTATTAAGAAGTATTAAACTCTTCCAACCTATAAATTACATTTACTAATACATGTTTCTCAGCATTTGCATCTCCAGAACAATTTTGAAAGCCGAATATGTGACTCAGCAAGACCTTCTTGGGGGATGGTGTGTTCAGATGCACACAGACTCAGCATTTGGTGGTAAAGGCAGCTTGTGAATGGACAGAGCTGGAACTCTTCTGCTCTCAGAAGAAACCTGCATTTACCTGGCAAGGTGGCCCAAGTTGAATCCTTCTGAAAAGCAGCTCCTGAGAAAGGCTGGATTGATCTCCTCTTCCCAGGAGCTCTGCTGAGATCTTCCTCGTGATTGGCTCCTGTACCTGTCAGAACAGCCTGG